ACCAATTTGATGGAATGAGCACCTCTAGCTCTACAGAGAACTCACCTCACTTCACTTATTTTCTGACACACTTCTTTTCTCTGGTTTTCACTTCTTGACACAAACCCAATTGCAGCAACCCCCCTTTATAAGGTTCAATGTCGGTTTGATTTCTTTCTAGAAATTTTATTTTACTTTCCAAAAACTTCCATGTTAATTTTCCAATGAGCTCTAATGACAATTTTTAAAGCTTGCTAGAGGGATAGAGAAGCTTCTAGGTTATTGACTTTGAGAAGCTTTTTGGTTTCTTGAAGTTGGTGTTGCATGACTTCTAACAAAATCATCAGGTACTTTAAGGCCAAATATAAAACCACCCCCCCCCCAATCACCACCACCCAAAAAAAAACGATGGACATTTATCACTTAACCTCCATAACTTTTAAATTACCAAAAAACCCCTTTCGAGTTTAGGGGTTAACACAAAACCTCATTTAACTTTAAGATTTTATCATAACTCCTACCCCTAATGACATTATTTATAATTTTCCACATGAGTGTGTAAAATTATTATGGGTGCACAAAAATATCTATTTCCGTTAAGATGCACATACAGTTACTAATGTCTATATCCAATAGGATATGGTCATGGATATAGATTTGTAGTGAAATATCTATCTAAAATATCCAAATATAAGTTGGTTTGCTGTAAGTAGTAACAATTTTAGTCCGCAGATTAATAGATTTGAGGTTAATTTTGATGATCAAGAGATCAAATATTAGCTTGTTTAATTATAACGAGCATATTAATAACTCTCTTGTATCATATGAACTATATTTTTTCAATATTATCTAATTTTTCCATATCCATTCCGTATCTACATGTATAGCGGTATCCGTATATGCTTTAGAGGATATGGATAATATAAATTTTCCTTACTTAGGTATATCTATATCTATATCTGTGGTCGGTAAGAAAAAATAGATATGGTAAATATCATATCAAAGCCGTGTCCGAACAACATGCTCCCCTAAATTACACATGGGGATATTTTCTCCATTAAAAATTTTGATTCAAACTTTAGGATTTTTATTGATAAAATGTTAAAGCTAAAACCAATTTTATGATAAACCCTAAAGTTAATAGGGGTTTTTCTGCTATTCACAAATTTATTGAAGGTAATCTAATAAATGTACAAATTTTATTTATTTATTTATTTATTTTGTGTCTATTAGGGGGGTGCTTTTTTTGTTGTTGTTGTTGTTGTTGGAGGGTTCTAGATATTTTATCATACTTTGAAGTATCCTCTTGTTTCCATTGTGAAGAATATACTTTGGCCACATTTGTTTTTTTATTATGGGACTAGAGGTGGACAATAGTCTTGGAATTGTATTATCCTAGGACTACTTTAGTTCAGTTTAATGTTTGTTTTTGTTCAGACTAATATTTTTACTAACTTAAAATAATTCATACCATTATTTGCTTTTAGTAGGATTATAATCATTTAAAATAATATTATAATAAATGAACTTTTTGGTCTTCGGTCAATTAATATTGTATCAATGTATTTGTTTGGCAAAAAATTTAAAATTTGGGCATGACCTTGTGTTAACATTAAACCAACTCTATTCATTTAACAAAACACAATTATAAAAAATTATAATCTATACTACATATAAAAGAGAATTGCCTTGTCAAAACTTTTGATTTCCATTTTTACCCATTTAGGTTTGATAATTCACAAGTATGACATTAGTTGTAATTAATAATTCACTAATTATATGTCTCCTCTTGTTAATTATATACATTTCCTCACTTTTTGAAACCTTTTCTCACACTATTAGTTTATTATTTAAGTATGTTACTTCATAGAAAAATTAAAATTTATCCCTAATTTATCTCCATATAATATTTAAAATTCTAGAAAATTTAAAAATAAGAAAAGTTCATTAGGCTTATGCTTTGTACCTTAGGATTTCACCTTTTATGAAGGACTACCTATTACCTTTCATCTTACAAGCCTTTCAAAAGTATGATAATAGTATGAAAAACAATTTGTATTTATTGTAATTGTAATAGTATTAATAGTATAATTACCTTAACAATGTTTTTTACATTAATAAATTATAATATAATATAATAATCAAACAATTTAGTAAATTATTTACTAATAGTATAATAAACTAATTATTAAATTAAAATGTAGTTACTAATAGTATTATAAGTACGCTATGTATAATATTATTATATTTAAAAGAAAATAGATTATTTAATATATGATAATAATTTTAATAGATTATGAATAAATTATAACAATTATCCAAACTATAATAATTAATCATACAGTTCTTTATACATACTTTTATCATATAATTTATTTACTTTAACAAAATTATAATTATTCATAATTTATATTACTATGCAAGTCATTTTATTATTTTGTATCCAACAAAAAAAATAAAAGCAAAATATGTATGCTCTCATGCAAAGCACATGCACTATACTATCATAAAATGTTTTAATTATGTGACTTTCTCATGGGTAGTCACAATTTTTGTTTTTACATGTATTAATTAAGTTTTTTTCTGCTATTTTGTTTGCTATTTTAATTTTCAAAATTTTCACAAAGGGAGAAATCTTATTATTCTATTTTATTTATTAACACATAGTTTTACTATTAAATAAAAAACCAAAACTTAAAAACATATACATTCATGTGCAAAGCACGCGCATTATACTAGTATCACATTAAACATGAGATCATCCCAACAAAATATTAAATAGTACCATAAGATTAAAAAAATATTATCCTGCAAGTAAAAGATAAAAATTAACACTACTAAGGTGTATATCATCCATGCATCTAGTATCCAACTATCAAACAGTCATGATCAGTGCCTAGCTTCTCCTGTACCTGGAAAGGAAAATGAGGTTTGGTTGAGGGAAGTGTGGTGTGCTAAAAATTTAAAAACAAAATAGCCCCTTTCATCAAATTTGGAGAAAAAGGTGATTGTGGGATAATAATACTTGGACTATAATACTTGGACTATAAATATAGGGAGGAAATCTGTTTATTATATAGCCCCTTTCTTGGTGGGTTACTTAGTCCCTCCTTAAAATAATCCGGATCCGATAAGAAGAAGGGTTTTTACATGAGAACCATCTTAATTTTTATTCAAATTGATACTTACCATCTTTCATTTTTATTTTTGCATCTTTCCTTTTTATTTTTGATCAGAACCATCTTTACTTGCGTACGTACATGTTTACAATGTCACACCTAATCGACCTATCTGCTCAAGAAAGGCCTGAATTTCCGAAATACCCTCATTCAACACATGCAAAGCATGTGTGTCCCAATTAATTATAAAAAGTAATAGTTTTATCTCAATATTAGTTTCCTAAAATCTTTCATATTTTTACTGTAACCCCTCAATTCTATCATATTTGAAATTAGTGCCCTAAATTGAAATCATCATTGCCATTGAGGGTTATGGGCAGGTCGGGAACATCAAGTTTTGCTCCTTAGCTAAGGTTTCATGGGTTTTCTCTTGGACGGAGGGAGTGATGGAGAGAAGATTAAGGAGAGGTGAGGTTTGGATTTTGGGGAGTACTGAGGGAGGGCTTTTTGGATTAGTGGGCGGGATGGAGGGAGGATTTAAGGAATACAAGATTAGGTTTTGAGAATTGGGAATTAGGGTTTGAGAATTGGGCTAGACTTTGTAGATTTCAGGACTAAAGAGGTACGAAAAAGTTTCAGCTCAAAATGATGCAAAACTAACAGAACAATTGATTTCAACAATTAACCATTGATGGTTACAAGGCAACCATCGATGGTCCATAGGTCATCGATGAACTATAGTTAATAGTATGTGTTTTTCAGAAACGACAAATAAAAACATTGATGGATTATAGTCAACCATTGGTGATCCTTTAACCATCAATGTATTACATTTAACAATTTGTGAATTTCAGAAACCAAAATTTGAACAATCGATGGACTACAGGGAACTATCTATGATCGACATCAACCATTAATGATCGCTTTTAACCATCAATGGTTTGGACGCTTTTAGGCATATGTTTGATCACAGATTTGATCTCTTATTTCAACATTAATTAGAAGGCTTCTTTCAAATACAATCAAGGTCTAGTTAGGAAGGAGTTGGAGAAGAGATGAACAATAAGAAAAAGGGAGGATATCAATAAGAAAAAGAGAGGATACTTGCACAAGTTTGTGAGAGCAAATTCTAGAGTTTGAGGGAGATTGTGAGTTAGAATTTTATCCCTGAGCCTTGTTCAGCTTCTTCTTGTCGCGCTCAATACGGAGAGATCATTTGCACTTAACCTTAACATCATTTCTTCTCGGATCATCGTCAATATTGATTTGAAGAAGAATTTGTTTTAAAAGGGTTATAAGATCTTTTTAATTGTGCTTTAACTATTTTAGGATTGGTTTTGTATTTCTAACTTGAATTTGACGGTGTACTCAGGCCGAGGTAATTGAGGGTTGGCGTGCTCAAGTCAGGATAATTGAGTGTGGCTAGTTAGAGCTAGATTTCTTCTAGTCATTGTGAGAAGATGAGTATCTCAATTGATTTTGGGTAGATTTCAACGTCCTGTTTGTAAAGCCTACTGATTTGGATTGTGATTCAGAGATAACTCTGGTCATAGTGAAGAAAGCCCTTCGCGAGAGAGAAGAGTTGATGTAGGATTTTGATTCTAACTACTATAAAAATCTCGTGTGTTCTTGTATTGGATGCTCTTAGCTTTTTATTTTTTATTTTCGATATTCTCTATCTTTCTAAAAATTTTGTAGCAATCCTATTCGTACCCCCTCCCCCCTCAAGGCTTTCATCCCGTTTCCAACAGCTACAACTTCTACAATATAAGAATGTTAATCTCAGCAGAATTAACAAGCTCTTTTGTCATTATATTAATACTGGACATAGCTAATAGAAACTATTCAGGAATTATGATTTGAATCACCCATAACATGCCGCAAAAAAAAATTGCTATGCAGGTAATGAGCAATGGAATCTTCAAGAGTCCTGTGCACAGAGTAGTGACGGGTTCGAAGGAAAGGACATCGATCGCTATGTTTTTTTTGCTCCAACCCGAGAAAATGCTAGAACCAACACAAGGGTTGGTGAGTGAAACCAGACCATGTTTGTATAGGAAGATGAAGGCGAAGGACTTCCTCAAGGCTTTTTTTGACAAGTTCGCTCAAGGGCAGACTACTATTCAATGGTTAAGATTTTGATAAGGGGAAAAAATAAATCAGACTTTATTAATAATTATGACTTGTTTTCTGATCATAATATGTTGTGTGGTTTGTATAATAAAATATCCTCAGAACATCGCAAAAAATCAAAATATCTGGATTTCTTTTCTTGCCTACAAAAATCAGATTGTAAATTTTTATTGTCATCCATCACAAATTCTAATGCTAGTAATGACGTCGAAACTAAAACACCTGTCTTAAAAGAATTAGTATAATTGGGTCCAAAAGTCAAAATAAATATAGTCCAGGATAGTTTTCCAAAAACTCCATGACAATGCATGATAGTTTGCTTACACATCATGGTGTCAGTTTAACATTATGGTATTTTTAGTACATCAATTTGCAACAATTTCCCTCAAACTGGATAGAATCTAATTGATATTGCTTCTTCGTCAAGATAGGCACAATGTATTTCATTTCATTTAATTATGTCTTGTTCAATGCTGCCCAGTTTTCTCTCCAAAGGAAAGATTAACTTTGTTGAGTTAATCCGTCAATAGGCGAGTTAGCTATGTTGGACTTAATCGTGATTAAATCATAGAGTTTAAAAAAAAAGAGCGAAAGCTATACCTGAATCTATTATACGGATCTGAAATTTGGGTTTTGGATCTTCTAATCTTGATGGTTCTCCCTTGAGATTCTCTTTAGATGAGGATAAGGGAATGAGAACTCAACCCTAAGATTAGGGACCATAACCCCATTATATAGACTTGCAGTTTTCTAATTTAGCCCCTTATTAAATTAGAATTACAATCTGGTATTTGCACAATTAGCCCCTGACATATATAAATACCTATTGACCCAATTACCTGATTGATCACTTTATGTGGGTCAACTGTAAAGATAGCAACATACAATAACATAACATATGTGCCCACAAATAGATTTAATTAGATTTAAATCCAACAATCTCCCACTTAGACACCATATGTTTCCTTAAAGTGTGTATAACTTTATGAGCTCAAAATTGCTATCATAAATAAGGGTATTTCCAAACAATCTCGTCCATTGAGTATATCAGTATAGGATCAAAGCGGCCTTCGTCATATTTATCATAACTAAACTCATCAATGGTCACATATACCAATATAATCAAATGACATAGATCAATCATGGATGTGCAACATGAAAATTACATGCAATGTGATCAGTACATGTCTATTTTCAACTGGTCCCACCTTAAACTTTAGTGAGGTCAACCTTAACATAATATACCAGAGTGTATGAACTGAATACTTTATTCTGATCAGACAATACAATCTAATATAAAGCACCACAATCACAAACTCCCACTAAATCATGATATCCTCAAATAATATCACACCCATATGAGCAGTGTGCTCATGAAAGACGTTAGGTGGAAATCCTTTAGTAAGAGGACAGCTATCATGGAGTTTTTCCCAATGTGCTTTATGGATATCTTTCCACTTTGTACTATTTCTTTCATAACTAGAAACTTAATGTCAATATATTTTGATTTAGTTGAGCTCCTGTTGTTAGAATACATTACTGCAGATTTATTGTCATAATATAACCTTAGTGGTCTTTTAACATTTTTCAGAATGCGCAGTTCAGTGACAAAGTTTCACAGCCATATTCCCTGATTAGATGCCCCATAGCAAGCTATAAATTCTCCTGTCATAGTGGGGAAAGATACAAGTGTCTGTTTAATACTTTTCTATGATATAGCACCTCCAGCTAACATATAAATGTAGCTTGATATAAACTTTCTGCTATCTTGGCATCCAGCAAAATCAGAATCAGAGTACCCAATGACCTTCAATTGTTCTGATTTTTTGTATGTGAGCATATAATCTTTTATTTTATGAAGATACATCATAACCCTTTTAACTGCTATCTAATGATCCATACCAGTGTTGCTTAAGTATCTGCCTAACATCCCAACAATGTACATAATATCCGGATGCGTACACACCCGAGCATACATTAGACTTCCTATAACCGAAGCATAAGGAATCTTCTGCATTTTCTAAAATTTAAGGTTACCTTTAGGATACTGATTGAGACTGAACTTGTCTTATTTAGTAACATGGGTGTTTCCTAGTCTACAGTCTTGCATGCCAAACCTTTTAAGTACTTTATTGATATAGCTATTTTGTGATAATCTAAGTATACATCGAGAACGATCTCGATGTATCTGGATTCCTAATATAAAAGAGGCATCCCCAAGATCTTTCATCTCAAAATTCTTTGATAGAAATATCTTGGTTTCGTGCAACATACCTATATCATTAGTAGCAAGCAATATATCATCGACATACAGAACCAGAAAAATAAACTTACTCCTACTGAGCTTGTAATATACACAGTCATCAATAATGTTCATCTCAAAACCGAATGAGATAATTATTCGTTGAAACTTGTAATACCATTGACGAGGAGCTTGCTTGAGTTCATAGATAGATTTTCTTAATTTACAAACCATATTTTTTGGGTCTCCTGATCCAAAGTTTTATGGTTGCACCATATAAATCATCTCATCAATGTCACCATTGAGAAATACAATCTTAACATCCATCTGATGTAACTCAAGATTAAAATGAGCAACAAGCACCATGATTGTTCTAAAAGAGTCTTTCGATAAAACCAGAGAAAAAGTCTTTGTATAATCAATACCTTCCTTTTGAGTAAAGCTTTTAGCTATAAGACATGCCTTATACCCCTCCACATTGCTATTTGCATCCCGCTTGGTTTTAAAAATCCATTTACAACCAATTGGTTTTGCAACTTCTGGCAATGGGACAAGTTCCTAAATCTTATTGTCTTGCATAGACTTGTACTCTTCATTCATGGCATCAATCTACTATTGAGAGTTAGAACTTTTTATGACCTGAAGGAAGTTGATTGGATCATCTTCCAACATTCTATTATTATCCTCATGTTCTTGGAGAAATACAATATAATCATCCGGAATAGTATTTCTCTTTTCTCTCATGGATCTCCCTAATGACACTGGTTCTTGAGGTTATTGAGTTTGTTCTTCTGGAACAGGGAGTTGTCAACATTGTCATCTTGAGGTTTCGAATTTACTTCTTGATCAATAACAAGTATAGGAACCTGAATATTGTCAAAAGTAACTGTATGGATTTGGTCTAAAGCTAATTCCTCATTAAAATCAATGTTTCTAACCTTATTTCTCCCCTCAAACTCAACATCCTCAAAGAATGTTATTGTTTCTATCTCAAAAATATTCCAGAGTATGGGATCATAAAACTTATAGCCCTTAGAGCATTGAGAATACCCAATAAAGTAGTTGCTAACTATTTTGGAATCCAGTTTCTTTTCATGTGGCCTATAAGGCCTTGTCTCAGCTAGACATCCCTAAATATGTAAGTACTTTAAACTGGGCTTTCGACTAGTCAAAAGTTAATATGGTATTTTAGCAACTGCTTTACTTGGTACTCTATTCATAATGTAAGCTGCTGTCTTTAATGCTTCTCCTCAGAGTGACTCTGGTAAAGAAGAATGAGCGATCATACTTCTTACAATATTCTTAAGAGTCTTGTTTCATCTTTCAGCTACATCATTCATGCTAGCTGAACCCGATATGGTGTACTGTGGGATGATACCGCATTCATCTAGGTATCTAGCAAATGGTCCTGAACGTTGTTCACCTGAATCATCATATATGCCGTAGTACTCACCACCACGATCAGATCTAACAGCTTTAATTCTTTTATTAAGTTGATTCTCAACCTCAGCTTTATAGGCTTTGAACATGTTTAGAGACTCAGATTTTTCATGAATGAGATACAGGTACCTATAATGTGAGTAATCGTCTATGAATGATATAAAGTATTATTGACCATTCCAAGATGCCGTAGGGAATGGCCTACAAATATCTGTATGTATCAATTCTAAGATATCTAAAGACCTTTTGGCACCTAATCTCTTAGCTTTAGTCTGTTTTCCCTTTATACATTCAACACATACGTCGAAGTCTGAAAAATCAAGGGAATTCAAAATGCCATCAGACACAAGATGCTCAACTCTACATTTTGAGATATGACCCAAGCACTTATGCCATAATGTCGCTGAATTTTTTTTATTTAATTTACGCTTAGTACCACATGATTCCACATGCAAGGATTCATTATAAGAAGCAAATGTATCAAGCAAATATAGGTTGTCATAAGTACTCAAGTAACCGGTTCCCACAACATTTGAATTTAAAGATAAACTGAATTGGTTATTTCTGAATGAACAATGATAACGTGATTTGTTCAATATAGAAACAAAAACCAAACTTCGTCTAAAATACGGTACTCCAAAAGTATCTTTTTAATCCAAATATTAACCAATTCCTAATAGCAACATAAAGTGTCCAATTTCTTCCACGTCTACCGATTGTCCGTCACCCACAAAGATGCATCTTTTAATATCACTTGGCTTTCGGTAGCACATGTAGCCCTACATTGAAACACTTTAGTGAGTAGTAGCACCAGAGTCTAACCACCAAGTGTTTCTAGGTACTAAAACTAAATTACCGCAGAACAGACCAAAGTAAGGAACGTACTCTTCTTAGCACGCCAGGCGTGATATTTGGCACAGTCCTTCTTTACGTGTCTAGACTTGTTGTAGAAGAAACAACCCTGATCATCCTTATGTTGTTTCTTTTGAACAGGACCCTTAGCAGCTTCATTATCATTCTTTCTTTAATTGCCCTTATCCTTAGAGGCATAAGCCAAATGAGCACTTTCTGTCTTATCTTGCTTCAACCTGTCGTCTTCTTGCACACAGTATGAAATGAGCTCATTTAGAGTCTATTTTTTCCTTTTGGCTTTTATAGTTGACCTTAAACTGATTGAATTGTGTAGGAAGAGATAACAAAACTAGATGCATTTATAACTCATCACAAATATCGAGTTTGAGTGCCTTAAGTTTTGAAGCAATATGAGATATTTTCATAATGTACTCCCTGATATTTCCTTTGTCCTTATACTTCATCGAAATCAAGCGAGCTAAAAACGTGCTTGTTTCTACCTTATCATTTTTCACAAAATGCTTCTTAATTTTGGTAAGAAAATCTTTGGTCTTAGTAATCCCTTTGGATTCTATGCCCCTGAAGGCTTCCGGAACGCCGCTCTCAATGATCAT